GCGGTTATATAGCCGTGGATAGAATATCTGGATATGAAAATGTAAATTGTCTTACAACACGTAATCTTGATACTTTAATGTGAAATTTTGGATGGATGAATCTTTGTGGGGGTTAGTAGCCTAAACTGCTAAATGGATCTCGGTGAAATTTATCACAAATGTAGAATATATAGAAGACCACATAGGCTGCTTACTAAGTTTTTTTTTTAATTCGCGCGGGCGAAAGCTATATTAATATTAATTTTATTTAATTAATTAATAAAGAGGAATGTGTATTTTTGTATATATTCGATTCACGTAAAATCTACTGGGCTGATTTTAAATGTTCTTTCACCATTAGAAAGGTAATTTATCTGTGAATAACATAGGCATTTTTTATATTTTAATTTCACGCGGGCGATGCCGCAAGCAGCAGCTAGTGGTTAATATTTGTCTTGTAATTTCTCAATGATATAAGAAATGTAATAGTAGTGGAAATTCGGCTACATTGTCAAGGGCACGGTATGGCATGGCTGTAATCGGTAACTCTGTCGCAAGTATACAAGGCAATGAACTCGATATGAAAATAACGGACGAGCCATTCTCCGAGCCTGTTACGTAACATCGCACTCGACAGCTGGTGCTATCAAGCCATAAAGTTAGATTTTGTTTATTTTTATGCAGCTTACGCTCATTGTTTAGAGGATACAACCTGAAGTAAGACACTCTCCATGTAACTACTAAAACTTTTTTCTTTTTAAAAGTGTATTTTTTTTCTGTATATGTATGTAATTAGTACAGCCGGTCACCCTAATAATTTAGGTATATGTTACTTGAGTTCGAAGGAGCTAGCTGAAAATTGGCACAGGAACGGCTTAGTCCATCCTGCATACGTTGAGCTGGCTACCTTTTGCCACGATTGTATGTTTTCTTTAGAATATGACCTTTTATGTAATTTCTTTTTTGTGGGAATAAATACATATTGATTCAAAACCAAATATGACGTGAGGGGATTCAAAAGTAGAGTAAATAGCTACTTATTAATCTATTACGTGCATTACGACTGCATCACTACTTTCTTCAGGTGGGATCGTTGTCAAACGCGGGCTTAACAATAAAAAAAAGTTAGTAATTATTAATGGTAGCTCAATCTACTTATCCGGATTACCTTAATACACTCAATGACAAAAATTAGTAGTACCTACGCTTTTATAATTATTATTTATTTCTTAAGGAGAAATTGGAATTTTAAAAAGTTTAATACTTAGTTTTGACGTAGAGTATAATTTAATCATTTTGCCTTCGAATCTCGGGGATATTACCAAATTGGGAAATTTCCATTGATTGATTTTATCCTTTAATCTTTTAGGAATACGGTCTAGTTTTATTTGAAGTATTATGTGGAAGTACTAAATTATTTATGTGCTTATCACTTGGAAGTGTTGATAAAAAGGGAGAGTATGTGCGGGTGTGCAAGGGACGTGTTTATCTCAGTTATAAATAAAGACTCGTAACAATGCATGCTGTTGGAATTATTTGTTTATATTGTTGAATTTCTATTTATATTTTAAACGTGTGTAGAAACAGGAATTATTACAATGTTATTTTAGTATTAAGAGAACATAAGTATACAAAGTTGAGAGAAAAATGGGCTTAAATATACAGGCAATACGATTTAGAAATTGATAACAGATAAAATGTCAAGAGGGCAATGACCTTTCGTAATTTAAACTGCTGAAACCGACTGGTGAGGTATCCAGTTCGTTTCTAGCCGACTTCTTAAAGAGATAGGTCCTCAATTCGCCTGTATGTTTTTTGTTACGGCGTATCTCAGATCCTGGATGTCCGATTTAAAAAAATCCGTTCTTTTTTTCCAAAATTAAATAATATCCAGTATTTTTTGAGTTCTCGGTAAAGCAAGTCGAAAAGTCTGTTAAAACTATTTGCTCCCGAAATTAATAGGGCAACAGTATATGCATTTATTTACTTTTTGAATTTACAATTAGTTTAAATATGTATATAGTAGCACGTAGGCTTAATTGCCGATGTAATGTTTGCACATTCAACGGTCCAGTTTTTGAATAGAGCTTTTAAAATGCAATCAACAAGCCACGCCTCATTTTCGAGTAGTTTTATTGTTCCATCCACCATCAAAGCCCCAAAGTCGTTTGTAATGTCTCACCCCTTTAATATTTCAAAAAGTACCCCTGCTCTTGTGTGGGATCGGAACATGGCCGTTTTGAACTTATAATTACTAGGAATCAACTTTCGAATATTACTTGTCATACTTAGTCCTTACTAATGGCTACCACTAGACCGCGTAAGTAATGAAATTGTACTCAGAGATAGCACTAACATTTATCATGAGAGATATACATAAAAATATACTCTAAAAATCAGTTTGAATAATGACTATTAAAGAATTCTGAGTGTAGAAGCTATTGTGGCAGTTAGTACAGAATTATCTAAACTAATATTAAAGAATGAACTAATCTTACAGATGCGTTCATTGTTTTTGAAGCCGCATTAGTGTTTTTTTAAACTCCACTGCCACTTCCGATACGCCTTTTCATTTCCGGGCTGATTACGCGGTCAAATATAACATAGCAAAAGGAACTAAAAAATATGACTAAGTTATAATTACCAGCTTTTAAGTTTAGTTATCTATAACATTTATTGCATCAAAAATATTGTATTCACGTAAATTGATTTAAATCATAGCTACAAATCAGATTACTGGTCGAAAAAACAATAATTAGGAATATAATCCAACCAAGTAATGTTTAAAAATGACATTGATTAAATTGGGTTATTAGCTTTCTAAGACATAAGTATTAATATTTATTAGAGTCCATTCTATTTTATTATTTAACTCTATCAGAAAATATAATCTGGAATAAGTAGATTAAAACGTGTCTACATAAATATGTGAATCATAATAGCATGCATAGACCTGTCTGTTAGGACACAAGATGCGTCATTAGGCGCTAATTGCAGGCTTCTTTGTTAATTTTAATCCATACTATAGTTACATGTGATACGTTATATTTATGTACTAAGTTACTACTATGGGTACATACGCTTTTTATAGGTGTAGGAAAAATTTTAACTGTCATTTGAATTGTAAAATTTGTAAAAGAACTGTAAATATACACGCAGTTTTAACTGAACATTCGACTGAGATCAGCTAAATCTATCAGGAGTGAGTCTAATGGTGGCATTAACATTTTGCCTAAATAGGCACAGTTTTTAATGAAGAATTGGACTGCTCAGTAAATTTGTTAGAACTGAACGTTTATACCGGGATTTAGTTTTCTTATAAAGGTAGGAATGTCATTTGTGCTTATAGCTAAGTTGTTTAATTTGCGTCTAATAATACACGTGTTTCAATTTATGAAATGAAAATCGAAGTGAAATTACTACAAAATAGGGCACTGGAAGTCTTCGAACATCACTCCGGTAATTATGATTGATGATTGGATTTGTACTTCAGTGTATTATTAAGTATAATTAATAATAGAGTATTTCTACAGAAACGACAAAGAAATTCTGGTTTTGAAAACATTTATAACCGTTATGTTGTTATTCAAAATCAATACATATGCTCTAGTTTTACTACTTTGTGATTTTAACAGCAAGGTACCACTGCCGTAACACTACGATATTAATATTAAGGTTTCACTTATTTAAATGCGAACAACTATGTTATCTATACTCTATACTTATTATAATAAAGCGTAAACACACACTTTGTTACCTAAGATGTCAGCAATTACAGCAGGTTTTTGAATAATTATTTTTTAATAAAAAGCCTTACACTTACGTCACGCTTTAGGCTATATATTTGTACGCTATTAAAGTTAGGGGTAAATATTTTGGATAAAAACCCAAATGTGGAAAAAAGACCATACGATACGAGCTGCCACCATTAAGGAAGCAAGGTTGCCATGCTTTATCATAATGTCATGTCATTTTCACATTTGCAATTGATAATTTGAGACATGTAAATAACAAAATTAAATTTCATAATTTTGTGCTGGCAAAGTCGCACGGGAACAGCTAGTGGAAAATATAGAAAGATGTAGGTTACAGTTAAGTGTTTTCAAATTATAGAATTATTATTTAGTTAAATTAAATTATTTAATTTTTTTTAATTTGTATCGAGAAATAGTGATCACGAACGGATCCGATACTCGATGTTTCAGCATTGACCGCATTGTAATTTAAAACTCTAAATATGAGAATCCCACATTAGTATGGCTTTATACCCAAAAGCGAATAGTTGCCTCCAAAATTTCGCCTTGACACAAAAAATAAAAAAAATCGCATTGAGTTCAGTTCGTAATTTAATATTTTTTAATCCCATAAATAAAGCTTTACCAAGGCTTTGCAAACAATTGCATAATTTCTTCAACAAAAGACACCGCTACGTATTGTTTTTCATACACTCAACACTGAATGAGGATAATTTATTCTTTTGTTCGGTATTATACATTTTACTGTCTTGTCAACATAAATACGAGTACTGTAACAAAACTAGGTATAAAACATCCAAGTGTAAGTTAACAGTTTCATTAAACTTTGAACAATGTATAGGTATTTATAATCTTATAGAATACTAGCTGTTGCTCGCGACTTCGTCCCCGTGAAATTAAAAAAATAATAAAAGATATAGCCTATATTACTCACAGATAAATTACCTTGCTAACGGTGAAAGAATTTTTAAAAATGGCCGAGTAGTTTTTGAGTTATTGAGAAATATTTCCTTTTTAATATTAATACAGATTCGTTAAGAGCAGAGCAAGCCCGTAAAATTGCGTTATGGTATTGACTGATTCCATTTTCTCTGTCTTGATCTATATATTTATATAGTAAGGACTTGGAACCATTTTATATATTTTTGGTGTCTAAAAGGTATGTTCATGTAGGATGTTTTGGTACACTCCAACGTTGGCAATACACATATCTGTTACGAGCATTAAAGTTGTCCATCAGAATTATATTTCTGTTATTGCCCATAGCTCAAAATGCTCCAGAGATACTGGATGTGTCATCACCGAAGGGCGAGGTGGGGAAGCAGGTCAACCTCAGCTGCAGCGCGGCGCCGGAGACCGCGGACATCCAGTGGCTGTACCAGAGCGAGCCAGTCAAGCTTGGCGACAGGTGACAGCTTTAATCATATTGTGACAAGTTATAAGTGATATTTGACTGTTGAGACCATCAGTCGTGAAAACATAAGGTGAAATTTTGTGAATAAGGCTGAAGGCAGAAGACCGCTGAGGCATTAATTATGACTTCTCTAGTGCCCATATTAAAATGTAAACTGACTTTTGATGATTTTAACAATTGATTTATTTAATTTTTAGGATCAAAGTCAACACGGAAGAAAGACAGCTGCAAAAGAAAGATTTAGACGGCAATCCGCAGAAGTATAAAATGTCCAATTTGACGATAAATAACGCGACGTCCCATGACGCTGGTAACTACACTTGTATCACACAGCTGGGGGAAGCGAAGATCGAGAGGATTCTGCTCCTCGATATGAGTTTCCCCGGAAAACTGGTGAAGAAGACACTAAGTCCAATCAAGCAGAATGCGACTGATCAGGCCAATGTTACAATGCAGTGCGTGTTTGAAGGTAAATTTTTAATTAAATTAAACATATCTTGATGTTTATACTAAAATTTTATTATTAATTTGTGCAGCTAAATTAATAAGTCTTATTTTTTTATTATCGACAGTTTACAAACCAGGCGAAGTGAAATGGTGGAAGAGAGCGAAAGAAGATGAGGCGATCGAGTTAGATTCGAGAACGGGAAAAAAGCTGGACTTGAAGCAAATAGAAAGCACATACATTCTCCATATAAAGAATCCAGAAGATAATGGCACGTACACCTGCGAAATCTGGGATCCTGTCACTTCAACAAATATCAGCGGAGAAATCGATGTGATGGTCTACGCTATCCCTTTAGTTGTTATGGATACAGTCATCCCTATAAGTTCTTCACAACTATTCCTGAATTGGACCATCCGAGCGTACAACTCACCAATCAAAAGTTACAATCTAATGTACCGAAGGTTGCCATCAACTGATTACAGTTTGTACACTAGAGAAAAAATCGGAGTTAAAAACATTTCATTCGTTATGGAAGGTTTAGAGAAATCGTCATCATATCAACTTAAATTGGAAGTCACTACAACGTATGGACAGAGCAAGCCTCACGTTTACGATACTATAGTGAAGACTTTAGACAAGGATCCGATTTTTGTACCGAATATAACTATAAATGGTTTCTCAGCAACTTCGGTGACAATCGGATGGGCGCCTCCGCCAGAAAGTATAGCTGAATTAATTCACTACTATATTTTAGAAGCTAGGAAGAACGATGAATCTCCAAGGAGGGCGTATCATTCGAGAGATAGTAGGAATCTACCGTACATGTTTGACAATCTGGAACCAATTAGCACTTATATTTTTCGGGTATGAATTTCAAATCCTTTTTTTTATTTTTTAACTTGGTTAACGAGTGACCGGGAACCTCAATTCGTTTAGACAGCGAAGCGATTGATGCCCATAGACATTCGTAATTGCAGATGCGTTATCTACCCTTAATCAACAGAGGAGACGCACATAAAGAGGATATTTCTCCTTTCTAAGTGTGTCCACAGTCAAATTCATTTCCTCTTCCAATCCTTTTCATATAAGAAAATAGTGGGATATTCCATATAAAAAAATATTTAGGATAGCTATCCTTTACTGACGCAGACTTTTTTGATGAACCCTGTATGAGATAGCAATACTAAATATCTAACTCTTTTGCACTCCTTTTCAGGTACGTGCGTGCTCTGATTTTACGAAGCGCTGTGGCAACTGGTCTGAGGAGGTGAAAGCTATTACCTTAGGAGGTACTCCGGGGAGGCCCAGTAATGTCACTATACATTGCTCTGGGGGGTATATGAACCTCACCTGGGACCCCCCTCTCAAACTGAACGCGGAAATAAAAGCATACAGTGTAAGTTACCTCTGTACTTAAGCTTTTTCACTTCTTTAGCTTTTACTTTTATAAATAACAAGCTGTACCCTAACAGTTCCATCCGTATGAAATTATAAAAACTTTACTCTTTACATTTGTAAAATTTTCAGTGGTAAATGTCAAAATTCAAATTTAGAAATGACAACGAAAGCCATTGGATTACAATAACTGTTACCATGGCAACCTTGCGTCCTTGATGTCAGCTTGTAGTTTTTGTCCCTTTCCGGAATGGCGGTTTTTTTTTCAATTTGCTTACTCGCTAAGTTTAATAGCATGATATACAGCCTAAAGCGTGTCGTAAGTGTAGGGCTTTTTATTAAAGAAAAAAAGTATTCAAAAATATTCTGTGTATGCAGAAATCATTCAAAAAAATTTTAATCCCAATTTTTTTAGTAGTATCTGTTTATAAAATTTCTATTTATTGTAAATCTAATACTAACTTTAACAGTTTTATGTTTTTTTTTATTTACAGATGAATTTGAGCGGTTTAGCAATATTTAAAGATCGTTTTGGCAGAGAGCTGAGGGATACATGGGGACCTATGTACAAATCTAAGACCAATGATACGAGGAGCGCACGGTACGTTATTTATTATCTTTTGCTCGCGACTTCGTCAGCGTGAAATAAACAAAATACAAATTCAACACTTAGGCAAAAGGCAAATACACAAAAATGTCAACTGTTTCATGTTGACGTCTTTAAAAAGGATTATTCCCAACCGTCACCCCGCTCTGTCCCCACGTGAGAATAAAAATCCATTTCACCTGTTGGTCCCACTATCACCAATAAAGTGACAGATGGAGCCGTTATGATATAAAATAATTTCCAACCATCCCCTCGTCGAAAGAGGTGGGACGGGTGAAACTTTATTCTCCACTGTCCCCGTGTGGGGACAAAATGGTGTGACGGTTGGGAATAATCCTTTAAAAATACTGAGCAACTGAACAATACCTTATAAAGCCTCTTTTAAGAAGTTGCTTAGTCTATCTTTCATTTACTAACAATATTAATCCAGAAGTCCAGTTTATTTATGTTATTTTGTAATATTTTCAGTTTCGATGATCTACCTCCGAATACAAACTACACGGTGCGTGTGAGCGCGGTGACGCGCACGCGGCGACGCGGCGAGGAGGAGACCAAGCACTGCGCCACGCCGCCTGCGCCCCCGCACCCGCCCAGGATACGGTGGTTCAAGGTTATATGCATTTTGTACACAATTCAATACAATTAGACCCCCTTGTCTTACTTAAAATTATTATAATTAATCCTTATCCAATATTGGGGAAATTATTTCCCACTTGACTTACCGTAATTTTTTTTTCTTTACTGGTAACTCAAATCAGTCACAACCTTAGGAAAGATATGAATGCTAGTTTTTTTTTTAAAACTTTTTAATTCAATTTTAGAGTTTTGTTTAACAAATCTGGTACAACTAATTTATTTATTATGAACCATCCTTCAACAGGATTGTGAATTTCGTTAGTTGTTTGGATAGACTGATGGCGATCTTCTATCAGAGTAAAAAAAACTTATTAGTATTACATAATTTATGTATAAATCTGCTATCTAGAAGTAATAATTTTTGTTGTTATCTTGTAGATCGTTGAAAATGAAAAATACAAATTAAAATTAAACTTGCCTCGGCTGTCAGAGAGGAATGGACCGATTTGTTGCTACAGGTAAATATGGCACTAATACTTCATTCAATAATGCAACTTTTTAAAGATTTCCAAGTCCAAGAATTATGTTCAGATTAATTAATTTCTTAGCAGCAACAACATATTTGTACAGCACTATTGGATAAAACACGCTACTCTTGTTGCTGTACAGCATTTCCTTTAAACTAAAAGACTACAAGTGTAGATTTTTCTTACTCTACACTAAAAGATTTTTTATATTAAACGACCTTGAAACGATTACCTAAGTATCTACCGTTTCAATGTTTTCAGTTTAGAGTCGATAATATATTTGAATCAATAATTTTTGTATCAGGATATTCATGGTGAAACTTCTACCGCGGACGGATTGGAGCAAATTGCCTTCTCCTCAAGAGATCAGTATTGTAGACTACGAGGAGGCTCACGGCGTAAGACCAGTTCTCGGCGCGTATCTCGCTGATGTCTTCTCACAGTGAGTCATATTGTATAACACGATTCAAACTTTACAGAGGCTCGAGAACATGCTAAATGTTCTGTGCTAATGTGTATTCAAGGAAACAAACTTAATCTAACCTATATAATCAAATTCTTGCAAGCCCTTATTGAACGGAAGATAAAGGAGGAAGTGTAAAAGACTTACTTAACGGCCGATGTTATTTATGTTTTTTTTTTAAATTCACGTTATCAAACAGTACAATGTACATAATTATAATAAAAATGTCTACGGTAGTTACTTTCTATGAAAATAATTTGGTCTCCCATAGACAAAATATTTTTTCTATTGCCATTGCGATATGTGAATTTATACATTTTTAACAAAAAAGTCAGATATTAGATATCGATTTAAGAAGATTTCCAAATTCGTTAATCCGCTTTGACGATAAACAATTGATTTAACTCACTTTTTTACTATTTTTCAGTGACAAATTCCCACCAATGGCAGAATCAATGGATATGATAATGGGCGATGATAGACCTATCTTTAGTGCGGACGACTCCACATTGCACAGTGATATGTGCCGGCGGTGCCTCAAGCGACCTCGCCGCCCCTACTACGACCCCCCACCACCTAAAGTGATCACCACTACCACCACGATGGCAACCACTACAGAAGATGAACTTCTAGATGACGACTTATCTACAGATGAACCGGAAATCAAAAGAGAAAGAAGATCTTATCCGGAGATAGACAGGACAGATAAGTAAGTTTTGAGTCGAACTGTACATGTACACTGTCGTTTTTTCATTAATTGCTTTAGTTTGTAATGTTATATACTAGCTTACGCCCGCGATTCCGTCCGCGCGGTATTAAAAAAAAACAAGTATCCTATGTCTTCTTTCACACTATCCTATATATTTATGCTAAATGATCCGTTTAGCAGTTTAGGCTACAAACTAACATCCATCCATCTAAACTTTACATCATACTAATATTATAAATGCGGAAGTTTAGATGGATGGATGGATGTTAGAGTTTACAGCCCAAACGGCTGAACAGATTTCGATGAAATTTGTCATAGATGAAGAGGATAGTCTGGAAGAACACATAGGCTACTCACTTTTGTTTTGTTTTTGTTTCGACGAGGACGGAGTCGCGGGCAAAAGCTAGTTTATAATATTAGTATGATGTCTTAAAATATTATTTTGAGTTGTTGAGTGTTATTTCGGTCGAATTTTTCTAAAATATCTTAAAGAGAATGTCACATGCACAATCAAAACTACTGTTAACTAAATTACTAAAAAAAACAATTAATGTTATTCAGTAGTTTCGGAGTCTATTTAAAGCCAACAATCCTCTTTAACAATATATCTCCTATTGGTATAGATATAAGGTTGCAATTTGTCTGATTCCAGTGATTACACAAGAAATCCGATGATGGGTGACAGCGTGGATGATGATTTCAAAGTAAAAGACGGCCTTCTTGACCCTGAGGCTAATTATACGCTCTTCGTTGAAGTGATTTGTAAGTATTAGATACTAGCATTCGCCCGCGACTATCCCCTACATTTATACCAATTTATATCGAAATCCTTACAGCTATTTTGGCTACAAACTTTACAATATTAGTATGACTAGTATTCCATTAAAGCTTTTAATTATAAATTATAAAATTAAAATATTTCTCTGTCATTGGCCAAGAATTGAAGTAACCATGGCAACCGTGAATCTCGATGCCATTGGCTTATAATTTTTGTCTCTTTCTCGCATGGCAATTTTTTACAATATTAAAATTATTTAACCCCCTAAGTTTAGTAGTGTAAAAGTATATATTGTAAAGCTTTTTATTAAGATTTTTTTTTAAAAATATACTGCGATCGCTTATATCTTTCATAACAAATTATCAATAAGTCATTTATATATAAATGTACATAATCAGCAGTAAACAGTCAATGTATGTACAGCTGCAGGTCGTCTGCAAGAGGAGCCAGTGTTCAGTGACTACGTGAATGTGCTGATGCCGGCCCCCAGCCCTGCGGGGACTTCTCCCTCCGCGTTTATAGAGATTGCATTACTGGCAAGTACTTTATATTTAACTAGCTTTCGCCTGCGACTACGTCCGCGTGGTTTAAAAAAAAAACAAATGTGAGTAGCCCATTTGTTCTACATCGAAATCCGTTCAGCCGTTTAGGCTACAAACTCTTGGGTCGTCGCGGTGGCAAGCGAAAGCGATCCCGTGGCGTCCCACACAATGGCCAGGAGGGAACAGAGAGGTTTAATGGGTATGCCCCAATATGGGGAGAGTCCCACATAACTCTCGTGCCTCCCCCGAAGCACGGAATATACATATACATTCCCCTCAAAAAAAGGCTACAAACTCTAACAAACATCCATCCTAAACTTTCGCATTTATAATACTAGTAAGATTAGTAATAGTGATTCAACGTATAATTAACCCTGTTTCAGGTGACGTGTCTGGTGGGCGGTCTGATGGTGGTGGGGATGGGCGTGCTATGCGTGGTGCACACGCGCCGCTCGCACAAGCTGCCGCCGCACGTACACGTCGAGATGAACCCGCTGCAAGTCGCACTCAGGTAGCCACAATTTAATGGATATTACTAATTATATTTCGACACTAGCTGTTGCTCGCGACTTTGTCTGTGTGAAAAAAAAGCAGTTGGACATGTTACTTTTTGAAATGAAAAAAATAACTATTACCAATAAAATATTTATATTTGTTACTATGTTACTTGGCGATAACGTGACTTTTTAATGGTGCAAGATTTTTTTAAATCGGTCCAGTTCTTTTTGAGTCAATACATACAGAAATTCAAAAAAACATATCATTATTGTTTATACTATTACGTTATAGTATAGATTTCACCGGCTGATTGTGATTTATTGTATTACTAGCTTTCGCCCGCGACTCCATCCGCGTGGAATTTAAAAATAACAAAAGCGAAGCCTATGTGTCCTTCCACACTATCCTTTAGGTCTATGGTCTAAATTTCATCAAGAATAGCGTAGGCTACAAACTCGTAACAAACATCCATCCATCCATCTAAACTTACGCATTTATAATTTTAGTACGATTACATTTAGTAAGTTGTTTTTTTTTCTAATCAAGTTAATGTGTATAGATACGTGGTGGGGTCGTTAGGGGGTCGGCAGCAGCTGATCACAGCCGTGCCACCAGACATGCCGCCCATCCCCAAGGAGGAGCTCGCCGCTGCATACGCCGAGCGACAGGCGGACTCAGATTACGGCTTCCAGAAAGAATTTGAGGTATTTATATCTTTAAAATATATAAATTGTTAATTTAAAATAAATGAAAAATGTATATGAACCTGGTGTTATGTAAATTTGGATAATAAATATCAAATTTATAGTTTTAATGGTGATCCAACTATATTTTGTAAGTTACAATAATTTATTTTTATTTTTGCGTATTTCTTAATAAACTTACAATCGTTTTATGTATTTTATTTTGCTATCTAAATTTGATATGCAATTCAAATAAACTTGTGGAATAAAACCCTGATTTTTTAATAGTAAGTGTTAGTACAACATTTTTTTCTTTGTAATTTTTATTACAAATGTCAATGGGCTTCTACGTAAATTAAAATATGTTTTAATTTAAAATTAATATTTATCAAGTTTATAAAAAAAAAAATCAAAGAGTAAATAGCGAAATTTTGTCTTATGATAGTCTACGTAGGAGTCATCGATACATTATGAAAATGCATGAAATTGTAATAATCACCTTTTTGTTTACAATACTTTTTTTTTATCATAATTGTGCTGTTTCATAATCCCCGTACAAACCGGGTATGTTATTATCGTATTTAAACGGGCAACCAACAACGACAGTTGTTACAGATGCTACCGGAATGTTTCCCCGACCGCACCACGCACGCGTCCGAGGCTCGCGAGAACCAGCCGAAGAACCGCTACCCGGATATAAAGGCGTACGACCAGACCCGGGTGAAACTGTCCCAGGTCGACGGGATATCCGGATCGGATTATATCAACGCTAACTACGTTATGGGATATAAAGTTAGTATTCATTCTTAGTAATATTATAAATGATAAAGTATGGATGGATGTTTATAAGAATTTGTAGCCTCAACGGCTGAACGGATCTCTATTAAAAATGGCATAGATGTAGAGGATAGTCTGGAAGAAGACATAGGCTACTTTTTTTTTTTTTTTTGGGAAGCTAGTATATTATAAATGCGAATGTATGTATGGATGGATCTCTGTTATCACATATTTAACATCTCCATAACGGTTTCATGGATCTAGTTGTAATCTGGCATAGATATAGAACAATGGAATATTATATAGATTAAATAACAAATTCTTATTCAATATCGTACAGACATCGCGGAAAAGACTAGTATTGATATATGGTAAAATGTATGGATATAGATTTATTTTTAAGCGAATTTATAATATATGTAGACAATTAAAATTCTTCTCAATAATGTTTTGCTATCTGTCCAATTACGCTAACAAAGGATCCGATGGAATCTAATCAGGTACTGCATAGCAAAAACTTGTAACGTATTTTTACTCTTTTTTAAATTTACTTGCTGACCCTATTGAGGTCTCTGACGTCACGATATGGTGCAGTTTCACGTAGTTACTGTCATATTGATATTGTCTCTGTTCTTTTCCTACAAAATAACAAGGATGACAATAATCTGTAAATTTTATTTGATTTATTATTCTAATATATTTTAACTAAAACAGGAGCGGAAAAAGTTCATCTGCGCCCAAGGACCAACGGAGACGACTGTGAATGACTTTTGGCGTATGATCTGGGAACATGGATTGGAACTGATCGTGATGCTGACCAACCTTGAGGAGTACTCTAAGGTGAAGTGCTCCAAGTACTGGCCTGATGACTCACGAGGGCCCAGGGCTTTTGGAAACATCACTGTCTATCATGTATCGGAGAAGAGGTAACAATAAAATAATTTGACTGATTGTTTACTTTGTGTAGTTAAATTAGAAATTATAAGAAACTTCTAAGCAATGTTTACCTTTTGTAATGATCTAAAAATATTGATTAAAAACAGAATTGTTTGTACAAGCAATTTCAACACTAAACCATTAAAGTAAATTTATATTGCCCTTCAAAATAATTTATATTGCCATATCCAGCCAGTAAATAAAATTTCTCATTCCCATTAATTTCGACTGTTTTATGCGTTTTTTTTTAAAATTTTAAATTGCAAGCAGTATTTAATGCGACAGATTTTGTAATTTTTTTTAATCATTTATCCTAATATTAAATATGCAAAATCAATGTTGATATGTAAGGTTATTGTATTTAACGCTTTTTAATTATTTTTAAGGTATTCTGATTACATCGTGAGAGAGTTGAGAATAACGAAGCAGCCTCTGAACTCTGACGGACAACCTATCATTGAGAATAATGGAATCAAGAGAAACGGGGGTAAATAAACAATGTTACTTTAATTCACTAATAAACTATCCAAGATTACAACCACAATCAAACGCATGGTTTTTTACCCGACTGATAAAGAGGGTAATGTTGTTCATGCGTAAGTTTTTTATGTACATGGGTTTGTCTTTCAATTCTATTACGATCAGTGATTCTCAACCACTGTGCCGCTGCACTTTTGTGTGCCGCCATATTTTTCATATTTCTGACATAAATTATTTATGCAGCGTGTTGTAAGTAAATAATTTTTATCTTTTTCTTTGTGTGCCGTCAAATTTTAAAATCGTTAAATATTTACCGCAACAAAAAAAGGTTGAAAATCACTGGACTAAAGGATTGAACTGATTTTGACGAATAAGATATAATTCGATTCGTCTTTTACTCCAGAATGTCTGGGTGTATAAAACATCAGTTCCAAACACCTACAGTGGAAATGAGAATTAAAACCAAGTAATTAGAATTCAAATCTCATCGTATCTTTATACATTTCTAGTTTATTTTAAAAATTTATTCATCTATTAAATTTAATCAGTCGGATTTAATGTGTGTATATTTGTAGAATGCAAGGAAGCAGCGGACGGCAGTCACCCCAATTCTCCTCAGAGTCGTGGCGAGTCGCGTCTCGTACGTCAGTACCACTTCCTCATGTGGAAGGACTTTGCTGCGCCGGAGCATTCTTACTCCATATTGAAATTTATTAAGGTATTATTATCTTAGACTAGATAGTCGTTTACCCGAAGTATCAAACATCCATTCGAATTTATATTTAGTATGAAGATGCCTTAATAGATAAGAAAACTTGTAGAAAATAGCCTCCACGCACCTCTAATTATAAACTAGCTGTTGCTCGCGACTTCGTCCGCTTGTAATAAAAAAATAGTAAGATTATGGCCTATGTTACTCAGTGATAACGTAGCTTTTAAATGGCGCAATTTGAAATTGGCCCATTAGTTTTTGAGTTATATACATGCAAAAATTTAAGTCCCTTACTCTTTACCATCCTTTTCTTATAAGGAAAGGATGTGAAGAGGAAGTGGATTCGACGGTAGGGGAGATGCATAGGAAGGGGAAATGTCCTCTTTATGTGCATCTCCTTCTCCGTCGGATAAGGGTAGGCAACGCATCTGCAATTGCAGATGTCTATGGGCAGCAGTCGCTTCGCCATTTTAGCGTATTCAGGTGGCCTTGTGCTCGATTGCCACCTTATGTTATAAAAAAAAATCAAATCTTTTCTCCTCACAATGTTAGTATAAATTTAGGCTTAAATTTTCGATAAAACAAATATTTGTGAGACGGTTTTTGTAACGTTATCGATATGTGTTCAGCGTCGCTACGAATACGTTCTCGCAATTTACACTCAAATATTCGTAATAGATCTGAGCATTTGTATATTTCAGCGTGTGAACGAGGCGTGGTGCAACATGTTGGGGCGGCCGGTGGTGGTGCACTGCAGCGCGGGCGTGGGCCGCACCGGCACGCTGGTGGCGCTCGACTGCCTGCTGGAGCAGCTGCGGGCCACGGGACACGTCTCCGTCTTCAACACTGTCGCTGAACTGCGCCGCCAGAGGAACTTCTTAGTGCAGTCGCTGGTGAGTGACGTCATATTAACGAACTATGAAATTTTCAATTTATAATATCAAAGGCACAAATGACTATTAGACCATTCGCAATTGTCATTGGATAACAATTGCTTTTACCATGACAACCTTGCTTTTTTTGATTTCTGCTTGTAGTTTTTGTTCCAAATTATTTACTCCCTAAGTTTAATAATGTGATATTATATAACCTAAAGCGTATCGTAAGTGTAAGGGTTTTTATTAAAGAAAGAATTATTTAAAAAGTTGATATCAATAAATAGTTATATTTGTTGTTACAGAAACAATACGTTTTCGTATACCGAGCGTTAGTAGAATACGCGCATTACGGAGATACGGAGATACCCGCTTCACGACTCAAGGCCAGCATCGATCGACTCCGTAACACGCCCGAAGGTGCCGACAAGTGCCTCATGGAACACGAATTTGAGGTACATTGATCGCTCGTCAAACATTATATACTATAACCATATTAAATTTCATATTTAACACGCAATGTATTCTATAATATATCCTCGGCAACGTCGACATGTTCAAAATACATTGCTTGCTCATTACTATTATCTCGAACTACTTTTCAAATTTAACGCGCAATGTATACTAAATATGAGTTTTTATTTGTAGAAAATGATGAACAGTCCTGTAGCGGAGGCCGTTAAGTCGTGTTCTGCTGGTACCGGAGAAGAACTCCGTGTACGCAACCGCAGCCCTGACTGCTTGCCTTACGACCGCAACCGAGTTATACTCGCCCCGATACCTGGAAGGGACTTCTCTACTTATATCAATGCCTCTTTCATTGAAGGTATTACGATAACATGACACCTTATAAGATGACGTAACGACAAACTATGTAAGCGAAATGATAAGAGAACATAAATAGTATAGAAACAAGGAAAGGGTCCGATCATCGATACAATACGCTGTTAACTTTAAAAACGACTATGGAATTGACAATCTATTATCTATCTCTTTCTATTTCATGTATTGATCATATGTCAAGTTCAAGAAGATTTGCCAATAATTGGACGGTCATTTTAGTAATATTAAAATATGTTTATAGCATTAGAAACAAGTGAAACATTGAAGATTTTTACCTAAAATATGATGTATGTATTTTAAATGTTTTTTGTTTCTTTCTAGCGTATGACAATTCGGAAGGATTCATAATAACGCAAGACCCGATGCCGAATACTATTATGGACTTTTGGAGGATGGTGTCCGAGCATAATGTGGCCACTATAGTCATGCTTAGTGAGGTAAGTATCCTAAAGGACTGATTTAGGACATAGCACGAAAACTAACGAAAAAGTATTTGTAACATCGATAACATTTGTATTGGAGTTCTGCGCCCTATCAGGTTAAAATCAAATGTATATCAATGATATTATAAAGAGGAAAGATTTTTATTTTTATTGAAATAACTCAAAAACTACTGGGCCGATTTCTAATATTATTTTAATGTCACGGGGACACAGTCGCGGGCAACAGCTGGTCTTATACAAATTTATTCGACTTACAAGTACTTTTTTGATAATTTTCGTGCCATGTACCATGATTTTAATGAGTAATGTATGATTTTTATTCGTATTTTTTCCTCTTAAACATTAATGAGGTTACTGTTATTGAGTTTTTATGTTTTCTAGTTGGGCGAAGGCAAGTGCCCTCGCTACTGGGATGATGGCACGGCGCAGTACGAGCACCTCTCGGTCGAGTATGAAGAGAGCGAGTCCTGCCCATACTATACTAGGCGGCAGTTCAGAGTCACCAATAATAAGGTAATATGCAACTTCTATACAGTTAAAAAAATTCAGTTATATTTGATAGATTCAAAACTGTGAATTAAATATATTTGTATAATATATATGGTTGTACTGAAATAAATAAATTATAGTGTATGTAATAAAAAAAAACATATTTCGTGGATACCATTTTATTAAACTTTTCTTCAATCTGGCATGGCCGTATTTGTTTTCAAGTAATCACTTACAATGGGTCGATTTGAATGGGACTTTTATTTACTTTATTAATTATGCGTTGAAGTGGCAAGACCGCTAAAAAACACTACGTATATACACATTTTTGTACTTTCGTGTAATTTAAAATAACATCGCAATATGTGTAGAGCGGCGAGTGGAGCGAGGTGCGCCAGCTGCAGTACCAGGGCTGGCCGACGGCGGCGGGGCACGTGCCCGAGGTGACGCGCGGCCTGGCCGAGCTTGCGGAGCTTGCCGCGCCGCTCGCGCCCTCCGCGCCCTCCGCGCCCCCCGCCGACACCACGCGCCGCCCCCTGCTAGTACATTGCCAGTGAGTGACAACCCTAACATAGTACAATAGGACTTGAGGCCCGAGCCCGAAGTGAAGTTTGCACTTATCGACCTCATACTGCCGCCCGCTAGTCCACTGCCAGTGAGACAGCCCTAACGGGTGCGAGCCAACCTCTAGTATGCCAAACCTCTAGTATTTGAAAACTAGGCCACTATCAGCGTTAGGCTAGTACGTAGTTGCGTGGTTAAGTGCAACGGATTCGTGAATTACAGTCTCATAATCCTGTTAATCCCGCTCCCCTCCAAGATAATAATGAACGGGGCGTCGTAGGAATCTTGCCTAGGGCGCTGTAGTGCTAAATCCGGTACTAAACTAGTTGACCTCAAAATCAGCTTAGCAGCTTGTAAATACGGATTAAAAGATATCCAATAAAGAAAGATGGATGGGTGTTTGTTAGAGTTTGTAGCTTCAAAGTCTGGACGGATCTTAATTAAGTAACCTATTTTAGTTTTTAATTTCATGCGGACGGAATCGCGGGCGAAAGCTAGTATTAGTAATATAAACAGATTTGTGGGTGTTTATTAATACTGTTTGTGTCAGCCTGGGCACGGAGCGGTCGTCGCTGTTCGTGGCGCTGTGCATCCTGATCTGGCAGCTGCGTGTGGAGCGCCGCGTCGACGTCAACTGCGTCGCGCGCAAGGTGCGCTCGCAGCGGGCACGCACCATCGACACATTTGTACGTACACATTCTTACTGCTAAATATAGTTTTAAATCAATTACAAAATGTATAAATGTACCCTTTACTATGTTTTTACTAAAGGTACTAAAAAATCATACTTCATACTAATATCATTAATGCGAAAGTTTAGATGGATGGATGGATGTTTGTTAGAGTTTGTAAACTAAACGGCTAAATAGATTGTTATGAAATTTGGCATAGACATAGAGGATAGTCTGGAAGAACGCATAGGCTATTTGGTTTTGTTTTTTTTTAACTCCTTGCGGACGGAGTCGCAGGCGAAAGCTAGTATATAAAAAATACTTTTTTTAATCTGCTTTCTTAATGTTGTCAGCTCGTAGTTTAAAGTCCCTTTCACACATGAGAGTTTTTTTTAATATATTGACCGTCTAAGATTAATAGCGTGAAAATATATATCCTAAATCGAGTCGTAAGTATGTGTTTACGCTTTATTACATTAGTATAGAAATATAGATACCTTGTATAGAGCGATACAGAACGATAACGATTTTTTTTAAATTACTGACAGTACAAATTAGACGTTTGTAAACGAGACATCGAATTCTTATCAATTACTGTTAAATTTATACTTAAATTAGTTTCACTTGTGGTTAGTAGTATTAAGCAAGTAATCCCAGCCATGATTATGTTTGTTTTTTGTTACAGTTACAATACGAATTTCTACACCGTGCCATATTGAATTACGCGGAGTTGCATAATTTACTAGAGGACAGCTAAGCTAACAAGCAAACTTCACACTTAAGGTTAACGGCATAAGATCGAGGATCGCTTAGCAGTGTAGCGATGAAAAGTACCATTTTTTATCTGTGCTCAAACAGTTGTATTAGAATTGATGTTTTTGTAACTTTTTTTTGTATTACCATGTAATTATTGATTATTTTCTTGCATTTGTACAATTTATCTATAAATCGGATTTTTTTCGCATGTGAATTTATAACCAATGGATGGACATTTTCAGATTTATCAATTAAGATAATTTATACTAAAGAATAAATATTTTTTAAACTCTTTAACATTTATCATGAAATATAAAATTGGAATCCAGACTCGAATATTTAAGATGTGAACTTTTTAAATCATAAATTAAAACATGACATTTCCGTTTGACATGTACTGTCAATGTCAAATTGACAGCTGTCAGTTAACTGTCAGCGTTACTGAAATTGATAGCTCAATACATTTGGTTGTATATCGCGTTATATTTAGAATAATTTAATAAAAGCCTATGTTGTATATCTTTTTAGTAATTTCAAACCGGCCGTAGATATAGAAGGTAACTGCTTACATATATTTCCCGCATCGCTTACATGTAGTATTACAAGGAATTTACAGATATATAATCTATAGATGTATGAAGCATATAAATGAGGTAAAAAAGGCTTTTTGGGTTTTATTGTTTACATTTGTCAAATGTCAAAATGACAACATGATGACAAACAACAACCTTGCTTCCTTGATGTTGGCAGCTTGTAGTTTATGGTCCCTTTCCCACATGAAGGTTTTTCTGAAATTCATATATCCCGTAAGTTTGATAGCGTAAAAATAAACCTAAAGCGTGTCGTAAGTGTAGGGCTTTTTATTAAAGAAAGAATTATTCAAATGCTGTGATTGCTGACATCTTACGTCACAAAGTAGTGTGTATTTATGCTTTATTATATTATAAAATTGTATTTCGAAATTCTACTCTATTAGATGTCAACTTATATCGAACAATCTATAGATTATATATCTATGAAGAAATTGATTTTCTCAGATTGTAGTTGTTTAAATGTAAGAATACTATATCAGGGCATTTTCCTGTACATATCTATGTAATTGATGACGTCACCGTTTTTTTTAAAAAATCAATGAATTACCATAGAAATATTTCTGGTATATTATTGTTTTAAGTTGCACAATGTACAATTAGTAATTCTCGTGTCATTTTTATTATATGCCGAGTTCCTTTAGTTAACCCAATTGTATAGCTTTGTTATGTTTTGTAAAATTATCGTATATTTTTTTTTTTTAGTTTACTATTATATTGGTATGAATGTACCAAATTAAAAACGTGTCCAAAGATGTATGTATGTATGGAATGTATCGTCGGAAATTTTATACAAATTGAGAATATTTTATTTATTGTTTTGTAATGGCTGATGTATTCTTATTTATTGGTTTAATATCTGTACTGTGGTTTTAAAAACCCCTTGATTTTTTTGATACTTTATGTCGAATTGACGATACCCCAAAATTAGCACAAAAAGGTGCGTGCATACTGTATTTTGGATTAAAATTGGCGAATCAAAATATGTAAATATTTTTTAAATACTGGAAGTGACTTTTCGTTTGCGAATACGTGTGCACAGCCCTTTTTAAAGTTTTTTGATGTATTTACTATAATTTAGATATTTGGTTTACTATGACGAGACTTATATGTCTACTTAGGCTAGGCTATGTACATTTAGATTGTATTGTTTAGATTTTGTATGAACATTAAATAATATTGAACGATGACATGTTCGTATCGTATGGGTTCCCACTCGCAGAATATGTGAAATGTGTAGTCATCTCTTTCACTCTCAAAAATATAAAATGTAAGAAAAGAGATAGATATATGTTTTACTTGTTTTGGTAGTGGGAAGTCCAACTTAACGGATTGTGTGTTAGAAGGTCTTGCATTCACCGTAATTTTAGGAGGCTTTGGATTATTTATTAAACTAACCGAAGTATTTACGATAAAATGATTAGAAATAAACAGTTTTACTTAAAAAATACAAAATAAATGGTCCATCTTGCTTAATATCAACCATATGTGGATGATTTTATGCAAAAACTAGTAATCCAATAATTTGGTGAAATAATTTAAGTTTTTAAAAAGTTATTTAGATAAGAACAATTCATCACATTACTTTTTATTCTCTATAAATGATCTCAACTTGTGTTCAATTATAGATATTTTCTTAAAAGGATTCCACTACAAAACTTGTGTTGGCAGATTTTTTTGAATGTCGAGTCGTTTTCCACGGCGTTTGTTTCTAACAGAATGGACTAAGAGTGTTTTACACTCGGTTCGCAGAGTCTACAGTGGAAGTGCACTCTTTTTTTTCTATATTAAATTATTCATCTATTCGATTCAAGCTTAAAATAATTTTTAAAACCATATGAGTATTCTGGTGTTTGCAAGACTTGATTTCCGACTGACGTGTGGGTTAGCTTTTATCGAAATAAGGCTTTAGGGATGTTGCGAAGTTTTTTATATAAATGAAATTAGTTAGTAAGTTAGTTAATGGACAGCGATGAACGAAAAGATTTTATTTCATGTCACGTGGTACAGTTAAAACTTTCATATGGCAAATGGTGTTATCGAAAAATATACAGAAATAACTTAATAATTTCATATTACAATATTAGGTGCTAAAAACGAGTCACTTTTATAGTTATTTATAACAGAAAGAAACAGATGTATTCATAAAGTGAGATAGCACTATTCCGCCATCTTGTTTATTTTAACGCAAACTTCACATCGCTAATATGAAAGTTTTAACTTCACGTGATTGATATTGTACAATTTACAAACTTGCATTTTTATAAAAATCCTGTCCTGTAAAATCTCGGGCGTCGCTTGATTCGTACTGATTTATTATTAAGTAATTAATACTTAGTTTATCAAGTTATGTTAAACTATGATTTTATAGATAAGTTAAGTTTTAAGTTGCCAAAGTTTAGTATATCAATTGGTTATATTTTGCTGTCATTCGGTCATTCGGTCATTTCGTTCCTCGCTGTTTTGACATGACCCTTACGGGTTGAAGATATTTTGTAATACTTGATATTGCTTTTGTAGTCAAATCATATCTATACCATTCGCTTATTTGATAATCGTTTACGAGTTTTTTAGTTAAAACTGAGAGAAATTAATATGCTAAGGAAATTACGCTTTATTGTGAAGTATGTCTGTGCAAGAAACACTAGCCTATTTTTGTGTTATATTTTGTTTTTTTAGGTGCTTTATTTGTGAATTTCTGAATTAATTTTCAAGTATATGAAATCATTTTTATTGCAGTTACTAAGTTTGTTCAATATATTGTAAATTTATTTTTTATATTTAATGTTAGGTTAAAAATTGTTCCATTAAAATTCTAGGCTAATTTGGTTTCTAGCTTAAACACTAATTTTCCCTTTCAAAAATAATTATTATTGCAGTGTAATGTAATTAACTATATGTAGTTAATTACATTACACTGCAATAATAATTAAGAGTACAATTTTATTATTAAAAGCTACATTTCTATATTTTATATCCAAATATCATACCAAATTGGTTTTTCGTGACATTTTGACAGATATTTAGTTGTTACACTAGTTGTCTACTAAGCGGTGTGAATGCAACACCTATATGATCTAAATAGGTGTGAGTAGGATAGCCATACTTCCAATAAAGCGCTGTTCAGTGATCTATTCGGTATGTTAAAGCGCTTTTTTGCTTTGTAAATATAATTGTAAGTGTACACCGCGCAAATGTGAAGTGTGATTGTAACGAAAGGATTTTCTACGTAACTGTGTTTCAACTGAAATGATACTTTTATATTTGCTGTCCCTTTTTATCTGTTAGATAAAATAGAGACAGCAATAGTACATAGAAGTGTCACGTCAGTGGAATTGTACGGTAACATTGGCGGCTGTATAACTGAGAGTATTGGTTGTATTTCTAATTTTATTTTTGTAAATAGATAATGCAGGTCATGTAATACAATATTTTTGAAAATATACCAATATTTAGAATGTTTTTTGTTATTTAGGCGTCGCCTGGGGGGCGAAGACTCCGTCTTAGACCTATCCTCTCCTTAAATTTCCTTGTACCATTTACTAGCGACGCCTATGTTACCCTTAATTAGAAATGATTTTTATTTGTGTTGATAGTTTTTTTTATAATATATGATGGCAAACGAGCAAGCGGCAACCTGTATCCACCGAAATAGAAAGCGACCGCTGTCCATTAACATCTGCAATTGCAGATGCGTACCTACCCTTAACCTTTTTAGCAATAGTGAGTTCGATTCCCGCTATTGGTTGTACAATTATGAACAAAATTTTGGCCTAATTTGAAATTTGATAATTAGAAGTCAAGTTTTAAGACAGTCGAATCACGTTTTAATAATGTATTTAGTATTAATATCGTGGTAGTTTCGAAATATGTAAAATATTCCAAAGTTTTAACGTCTCAAAACTTGCTCGAAACTAATTAATGTTTTTTTGTGAGCCTTAACTTTCTCGATATCAAGTTTTTGTAATAAAAAGTTTTCACATTTTTGCGCAATACAGAACAAATTGCCAAAATTTCTTCATAAATTAATAAATATTTAATTATTATTTATGCAAAAAGTTACGTTATTTTGTGCTAAAATAATTAAAAATATATGTTAATAGAAGTAAAGATATCATAAAAGTAGTAAAATTAAAAAAAAAAAATCATCGACCCTGCCAGGATTCGAACCTGGAATCTTCTGATCCGTAGTCAGACGCGTTATCCATTGCGCCACAGGGCCCGGTGTTTTCTCGAGCCAATTTTACAATAACCTACTAAAATGGGTCAATAGCTCAACAAGACGCAATGCAAAGAAATTTAAACTAACAAAGTTAAGCAGAAATGGCTAACGAATCTCCATCAACTAATGACATACTGACTGCAGTGGCAGTGGCTATAGAGATTTGATTGCATAATGAATTTCATAAACTCATTCACCACTCAGGCCTACTCGGGAAAACTAAAAAAAACTAATTATGTATTAATTAATTAATTAATTAGAAATGAAACTGAATAGAAATATTTAAGTGGTAATATTATTTTAATTAAGCAGTTTGTCAAGTTGTTCGGAGATTACGAAACTTTTGGGGAAATTTCGTTCAAACTTCCGTCCAGAATTTAATATAAGTTCTTAATTATTTTTGTTGAAAGATTCTTATTTGGTAATAATTTTTATATTTCTCCCTCATTGATTAACGATTATTTTAATGGATTAATTGGATACGGTTAGTCGTGAAACGTGGATTTTGTATTTTTAGTACAAAACTGGAAATCTTGCCGAATTATTTTGTCTCATGCTTTTAGCTTTATTGCGTGATTAAGCTAATGTTACGGGGATTTGTCTAAATGTATTCTGTGTAAGCTGGATAATTTGCCAAGATCTTGTGTTGACATTTGTTGATATGTTTGTATCAAGAATTGTTTTGTACAAAATCCGTGGACTTGTCATCATGTTGATGAAAAAACGGCAAATGAAAAATGTAATATTTTTAAATTGCAATGCATATACAATAGCACCTCGATTAGTTAAAGTGCAAGGGAAACACAAAATATTTTATGTTATAGAGGTTTTAAGTTATCTATGGTCTATGTATGTATGTACCCTTGTTCCTATTTTTACTCGAATGCGTCAGTAAGATTGGTAGATACTGAAATTTAAATAATTATATTTAATTATTCATATTGCACATTGCAGGATAAGTCTAGTTAAAATGTCTGTGATTTTCTTTTGTTTAAAACAATTCACAGTTTCTAAATCGATTTGATTTTCAATAGCAAATAGAGAGGAGAATACATTTATGTTTTTTCATCGCTCTATAAATGATCGCGCAAGCAAGGGCCAATACAGAGATTGTATCGTCACCGCGTTCCTCATTTTATTATCTCAACCGACCTTCTTCGACCCTTTGTCATAATCCATCCTCCTTCGCTCTTTCTTCGTCTTTTGGAACGCTTTAGTTCGGTATTCGAACTTTGAGTGGAGCGTTGACAGATACGCATGCGGGGCTTAGGGAGAAGTAAGTGTGTGATAAGCAGTGAACGGACTAACAGTGCAGTAAGACCATCTAATACGCGCAACGCAGAACAACCAGGTAAGCCCCGCAAGTATCCGCTTCGGGGAACTTTTCCGAACCTTACCGTCCTTTAGTCCCGTACTCGTTATCCGACCTAATTTCAATACTATCCAAAGACGAGGCTATACTCAAACCCCGATA